GGGGGGGGGACTTAAGTTGTATCATTTTTTAGATAGTATGCTGCTGACTCGGGTATAATGTTGTTTGGGAGCGTGAGGAAGCAGGGTGTTATCTTATCATGAATTGCGGGCTGGTTATCACTCCTTCCCCTCTTTTGTTTGCAACTTCTGGTCAGACCAATAGGCCTACCGATGACGACGCCCAAACAAAAAAAAAAAATACAGCGATTCAAAACGAAGCCTAACTATAGTCCTACAAAAGCACACGATGTGATTTTGACGGCATGAGAAGTTTGTTCTCATATATCCTGAGAAGCAGCAGCATCCATTGTGAGGATGCCAGGCTTTTTAATATAATATAATTAAGAAAAGTATGTAAGTAGAAGGAACTGGAGACTTTTTAACGTACATTTTTTACTAGCTCGGATAGAAAAGGAAAGAAATGCAGTTTTTTTGAATTCGTTTTATTGTTGTTCCGAAAAAAAAGAAAAAATGCTGCATGTCTATCTTGCGTCCTCTTCCACTTGTAGAGTCCTGCAGTTCGCCCTCTTCAGCTCACTCCTTTCATCGAACAGCTTACCTTTCAGCAGTTTCTGTTCCACAGCACATATCCCTGCACATTACCTGAAGTCAGTCCTCCTACTGCTCACTTTAATGATATCGTACGCCCTGCTTTTTAGCGATCTTATTGCACTACTGAACAAACACCACTCACAAAAGAAAGTGGAGAGGAATGCGTCGTATGCTAGTTGCATATGTATGAAAAAATTTGGAAAAATTTGTAAGATAGGGGGTATAAAGGAAAAGATGGGGGAAGAGCAGGAGAGAAATGTCTGGGAGAAGAGAAGGCGCGATAACTTGAATACTCTTCTGAGCTTTTTTATCACGAAAATGCCTTTTTACCGCGAAAATGCATTTTTGCCCCGGTTTACTGGGTCACTGGTCAGTATGCACTCCCAGTGGCCCTGCACTCTTAGTGTTTTTGTTCATATTCATTTTGCATTTCTTGGTTTAGGCGCAGTTTTTCGCCATAAAAATTTAAATTATTTAGCTTTCTACAAATGGCTTTCTGCATAATTTTTATTGTTCAGCACAATAGGTGACGGGAGCGTTGGTTTTATTTGTGTTTCATCTGGCTTCCGTCCTTTCTTGTTAGCTTTTGCTTGTTAGCATA